AAAAAAATATATATATCTTTAACAGGCCTCTTGCTTATTCAGAGATGCTGAATGACATGTAAACTTTCCCTGTATCTTATATTGTGTGTTGGTTTTTTAAGATTGTAGGGAAAGTGAAGGAAAATGGTCAGGGCCCCTCAGATGTTCAGAATCTTGCTGAGCATTTGATATAAATATGCACATGCGCCCAGGTGTTCTTTGGTTATCGTCTAATGTAATTGTGCATGTGCACCTGAGTTATGGACTTAAGTATAAAGGATGAATGGCTCTGATTCAGAGCACACCCACCCCCTCCACCGGGGGGGCCACAGGGAGGCCACCACTGCTGCTCGAGGCTATTGCTGCAAGCTGTTGCTGTTAGTGTTCCCAGGATGCCCCAAGAGGCCACTGCTGCTTCTGCGGACTGAGCTCGTGTCATCTGCCAATGGCTCCCAGGATCTTTCCCAATTACCTAGTATGGAAGTGCATGCCGGGATCTTTCCCAATTACCTAGTGTGGACCTGTTTGTGAGGGGTCTGGTAACCCAGCCTGTACAATGGGTTTGAAGGGTCTGAGCCCTGGCCCTGACAATACAAATGGAAACTTAGTATAACTAAAATAGTGAAACATTTTGGCTTTAGTTATGAATTGCTTAACAATACAATTGGCTACAATGGCAGGAGTCTGACAAATGCCTAGCCACACGATTAGGGTAGCTATTGCTGTAACCCTATAAAGATCTTAGGGACAAAGACTCTATATGGCTTTATTCAGGTAAGTTCAACTGAAAAAGAAGAAGAAAAGTCAATGATTCATAATAATATTGCACATTAGCACTAACAGTTGTTGCTAATTTTCACCTTGCTTTTCAGGGAGCAGGGTTAGAATCTGGGTGTTTCTGCCCACAAGTGTCGCTTGCATACAACCACCATGAAGATAAGTGCCATGCTCATGTACATGTGGCGCTTTTCCTGGTGGGATTGGGGGATGGATCAAGACCCCTGTTCTGGATCCAGCTCCACCACTAGTAGGTGATATGACCTTAGGCAAATTATATACAGGTTCTGTGCCTTACATTTCTTCTACTGCAGCAATTCAATAGTTTTTAAAAAGCTTCCCAGCTCTTACACTTTATTTGAACCTATAAATAACAAGTTCTCTGTTTTCTGGCATTTCAGGGCTTAGCCAATAACTGATCATTTATATTGATGAGTAATGTGCTGATCTACTTCCCAAAACATCCCCAAAATATTAATCTAAATTCAAGATGTGTCTGGCACTAATATTTTGTTGCATTCTAATTCTTTGAAAATTGGTGAAGCAGGAATGTTAAATCCAAATATCTTAACATTCTACCTTATAATTGTACTGGACATGGGAGTCTGCCATGCGTACTATCACTCTGAAGTCCCCCAAAGCAAAACATTTAATGATTTCAAGTACTTAGGAGAAACAGCACTGAGGATACTGACTGGCAAGCTCCATGAACACAAGTATGTAAATGAAAACAAAGCATTCAGGGAGAATTTGGAGGGCAGTTATCCCGGCTGGACAAGATGAAGCTACAAATTGTATCTTGATTCTGGCCCCTGTGATGGCACCAGTGAGTCCTATAGTAGTGGTTTTCAACTCTGACTGCCCATTAAAATCACATAGGGAGAATAAAAAATACTGTTACCAAGGCCCCAGCTGCAGTAGAACGGATTTATTTGGTCTGAGTTGGGGCCTTAGGCCTTGTTTTTAAAGCTCCTCAGGTGATTCTAATGTGCAAAGCAGGATTGAGATGAACAGCACTAGCCAGCGCTTTCAGACTTTAATGTGCACACAAAGCAGTTGGGAACATGCCTAAAATGCAGATTCTGCACTTCTCACAAGACCCTAGGTATTGCCAATGCTGCTGGCCTGTGGACTACAATCTGAGTAGGAGGAGTCAGATGATTTCATGCATCAACAGCTACAGGAAGGTCTCTGGGCTAATTACCCTGCCCTGCTGAGAAGCTCGAAAGTAGTTATCCAGTGGTTTTCAAAGCTCGGTCCCCAGAGTCATCAGCATCATATGAGTTGGAAATGGAAACTCTCAGGACACACCCAAGACCTATTGAGTCAGAAGATAATGACAGGGCCCACTAATGTGTTTTAACAAGCCCTCCAGTTGATTCTGATGCATGCTAAAATTTGAGAACCACGACTGGTAGTTAAAATTAAAACTGCTAATATTTATTGAGCTCTTACTATGTGCTAGGTATGTTGCTAATAAGAACTGTCAGTGATCAAGTCACTGCATATTCACAGCAACCCTATTCACAGGTGGGGGCTCACGGCAAGTTGCCCAGATTCACCAGCCAGTGAGTAGTGAAGCTGGGATGCAAATCCAGATCACGCGACTCTAGGGTCCCGGTTCTTAGCCATCGTGGTGCTGCCAGCAGCACCCTGTGATTCTCTCTTCTTATCGGTGCAACTGAGAGACAGAGATCCAATATTTTGAAAAAACATGGGTTTCTACTTCACCTAGCCGACTCTAGGGTCCCGGTTCTTAGCCATCGTGGTGCTGCCAGCAGCACCCTGTGATTCTCTCTTCTTATTGGTGCAACTGAGAGACAGAGATCCAATATTTTGAAAAAACATGGGTTTCTACTTCACCTAGCTGGAGACTGTTGAATCCAGACAGAGTGCATAAGCCTGTTTTCTGCCAGGGCAAGGACACGGGATGACACCATATTTACCATATCCTGGCCGAGGGGTGGCAGCGAGTCGAGCTCACTGAGGTCATTCTGGGCCTGCTGGACAGCGTGCATGCTTGTGTTGATGGTCCCCATGAGGGCCTGCTGGGCTGAGGTCTGTGAAGGCAGAAGAACAAGGCAGTCACACACCACCCCTGGGACTGACACAGTCCTCCATGCAAAACAAAGCAAAACTGAACTCTGAGCTCAAGACAAAGCAGTCCAAAGTACATCTCAACAAGCCTCTGAACCATCTCACGTTTCAACCTGAGGGCCAGAAATAGATATTACATTATATTAACAGAATACAAAATTGCAATAGAGGGATTATAATCAGAAGAGTGTGGAGAGCTTAATTAGCTGACGAGAAGGCTCAGAAGAGTCCTTGCAGGGGACTAAGAAGATCCAATCATTGTGTACTAAGGACAGAAGATCTCATGCCTAGGAAACACGTGGGAGTGAAATGGTAAAGCTTCTTGATAAATATTTAAGGTTCCACAAAAACCTACAGTTAACATGCTACTGCAGAGTCAAATAATTTCTGAGCTTTGAGGCTCTTAAGCTTTCAAAACTTCCCAATGTAGGCCTGAGAGAGGCACTGCGTCAGACAGACCAGCACAGTGGAAAGGAAACAATGTCCCCTGGGGTGAAATATTGGGA